GTTTTCACTTGTTAGAGGTGCCTAATAAACCCCAATTAGCCCTTCCAGCTTGTGGGGTAAAAAATGCTTCCATTCTGAGTCTGAAGTTCCTGGATAATAACAAGGACTGGAGAACGGAAGGGAAATAAATGTTGACTTGGAGGCACCTCTGTTGCTTCAAATCCAAGGGGGACTTCTGAGCTGTGACCATGGGTTTGGGTTGAAGCTTTTTAATTGCAATGTGAGGAAAACATTAGATGTTTTTTCCTTGCTGAAAACCAACCTGACCTGTTTTGCTTGTGTTAGTGTGACATAAGCAAGCTGATTGCAACAGAGATGGAAAAAGAAACCCCTTTTCAAAGCAGGGAGGGAACTCACAGCCACTTTGGACAATGGCACTTAGTTCTGAGGGTTTAATACACACCTGTTGAAACTGGTTTCAACATCATGTCATCATGGTGTGTGTGGGGGGGTGTTGATGCCCAGATTTGCCCTGCTTCTATTTATGCCCCTGAATTTAGCATTGGAACACAAAGGCGCCTTTCTGTTTAGGTCTATTTACAAAGGCAGACATTTGCAGTCATACCCTGGGATGTGATATCTCTGTCCACCTTCTGTACCCAGGTGTGGCCAGCACCTCTGCGCCAAGCAGTGCTCTCTGTTCTCTCACATCCATGTCCCTATGGCTTGCGGCCATCATGTTTGCAGCCTATGTCTTGGCAGGGCTCCCATCTCTCCTCCCCAATTCTTTCTGCCTTGCTTTGCCCTTTGCTTCTCCCTTCCCTGCCCCACACCAGTTTACACCAGTCTGCGCTAGTTCACCTGCTCGTCCCTTTCCTTCTGGCCCCACCTGGTTTGCTGCGATACCTCCCCCCCAGCATTAGTGTAACCTTGCTGTAAACCAGCACTGGAAAAAAACAGCCAGGTGCTGCTGGTATGGGAGTGCTCATCAGCCCCAGTGCAGCTGAAGAGTGGGCTGAGACAAGGTTGTGGACATGGCATTGGGAGGGAGGCCCTGTGGCCCCAGTGTAACCTGGGCCAAGTCTTCGCCTGGGGAGGGCTGGACAGAGAGAAGGGCCACCACAGGGTCAAGAGCATCCAAATGAACTGATACAAAGCAGTGCTGCAACTTTGAAACCCTCCCAGCATGGCCCCAACTTCAATCCCATGCAGCTGAATAGCTTGCATGTGAACGAGTGTCCCTGTTTGGCACAGGGCTGCTGGGAAAATGGCACACCTCAATGCTTCTGAAGGGAAAGATGCTACCCGGAGCTCAGAAAATCTCCCAGGACCTACAAACCATCTACCATATATGCACTAGGTCTCGTCCCCACAGAGAGCCCTGAGGATAGCATTGGCCTGAGAATTTGCTGTCACCCCACTGGCAATGTTGGGCATGATGAACACTGCAGGCTTGATCCTTCTCCCATGGGGATATTTGTCTGGGGTTAATTGCATATTAGCATGGTTCCCCAGAATGTGAGATGGCTGGCTCTGCTGAGTGCTGCTTGCACGCGGTTGGCCCTTGAGTTTGTTGACCACAAGGCACCTGCAGTCCTTGCCTGCAAAGCTGCTCCCAGCCTGGCCCAATATATGCGGCTGCTCCACCCCAGGCTCTGCATTTGCTCAGACATTTCCAGATCCCCCCAGACTGGCACCTCATCTCCAACAGCATCCTCCTCATGCCATTTCATTCATCCTCCCCATCCCTGGGATTCCCTTGCAGATGTAGCAGCCCATTTAAAAAGCCACAAATCAGCCCTTTTCTCAGAGGACTTACAAGTCCCATCACACCGTCAAAAACAGTGGGCCTACTGCATCCCTGCAGCCACCACCAGATTTCAACTGGTAGTGTAACTGGAGTTTCCATCTCTGCTCTTCTCCTCCAGCTTCCTCAGCAAAACAAGGAGGTCTGCAGGCATCTACTCTAGAGAGCAGGCAATTAGACTTCTTTAGTTAAAACAAATTATCCACTTGAAGGCAGGCAAAACCTCAGCTCCTGTGATAAAAACAAGATTACGGACATATCATTCATTAACTATGCCCAGATTGTAATCTTGGTTGCTCTTGCTTAATTAAATGGCTTCTTAACCGCAATGTTAGCTGTTCCCCAAATATTTGTATATTGGACACCTTGCCTCTGGTGACGCAATGAGTTAGAAGCACTTTCATCTTCTCCTTGAATTGCAGGAGAAGAATTTGCTTTGTCTGAAAGCAAAGAAACTTAATAGAAAATTACGGCCAGCTCCATGGAAAATGCAGGAGTTTCTGATGCTTCTCGTTTTACAGTCAGCTTTATCTGTGAGTGATGAACAAACTGTATGCTGGGTAAAACATCTATACAAGCATCTATATTAATATGAACAAACTTGTGAAAACGGGAAACCCACAAAAGGTAACTTCTACGGAGGGATCAAAGCTCCATGTGGGTCTGTGGCAGAGTCTGATTCACGGCTGGCTCTGTCTGCCTCCCCCTCTCCTGACCATTCCAATGGTCCATTCCCCACCTCTGATCTTCGCACCGAGACCACGGCCCCCTCCGGCTCCTTGGTCTCCCTTTATGCTAACAGATTCAAGCATTGAAACCCCATTTGCTTTTAGGACAGGTATGGAAATGCCCTATTACTGATTCATGGAAGTGCTCAAACATGAGTTATTGTCCTGTGGGTCTGAGGAGAGCCCTAAACCTCCTCCAGAGAGCAGAGGCAAGGCAGAGGAGTCCTGAAGACCCTCATGGGAGCAGATGCAAGTGTAGCTAGTGTGCAGACCTTGGGGAAAGAGGGAGATTGGTGGTTACTACATTACTTTCTTTAAGTTCTGAAAAGGCAAATGACAGTCACCCTACCACTTCCTTACCTTGCAGCTCCTCATTTCTATGAGCATACAAGGTGGACCTGCAAGGCTTGTGTGGATTCTCTTGGAGGCACCAGCTAGAAATCAGTCAGACACTTCCCAGTGCTTTGGCTGATGGAGGAAAAAATCCACTGAGAACAATGTGTTGTTTTATCCTGCACTAGCAGTGAGAACAGAAATTACGGAGTGACCAAGAAGGGTTCAAGACACATGTCTATTTGCAGACCTTTACTCACAAAAGACAGGCTGGGACCCTTGTGCCGAGTGATGGCCTATGCTGGGAAAATGTGGTGTGAGATCTGTTTGGGTTGCACAAGGAACAGTGTTCAGGTCCAGGTCAGCTGGGGAGAGCTGGACTTTACAACTTGCTCTGCATTGGGTGCTGCTAGCTAAGGACCTGTCCCTACAGCTTGTCTTTCTTCAGCCTTTCCCAAGATCACACAAGAGCCTGCCCAATTCTGCCATCTCATCCCACTATGCAGATGGGGCATTGCTGGAGACCTTGACATCACTCACATCCCCAATTTTTGTGCAGCAGTGGCCTTGTATGGTCTCCTGTGGCACCATCACCATTTTAGGCCAGAATATCGGGGGCTTTTCCGTATGCGTTGGGTGAGGAAATGCAAGGACAGAGTGCAAGGAAGCAGCAGGACATCTCCAAGTGTGGATGCAAGCACCTGCTACTGACACGCACCTTATTCCTGACTCTGAGAAGGGAGAAAATGCTGGCATGATCCATCTGCTCCCTGCAACACAGGGAAGCAAACCACAGACAGCTGATCCAGTCAATCACTTTAGGCTCTCTTTACTACCCAGGCTGAGGCTGTTTTGAGTCAGTGGCAGAGCCAACTCACTTCAGCTCACTGTTTCTGCAATGACAGAGGCAAACTGAAGGTCATCTAAATGCGGCAAGATGTGATTCCTTTAGCCCAGGTTTATTCATTCTTGATTTTGCTCAACAGTAAGATGCAAGCCAAATGTGAGCACACTTTCTCGAACAGTAGTTTGATATGCTGCTTACAAGGAAGTTTGCAAACTCAACACTTTGCATCCTACGGAAGGTGGATTTAGATTGAGCTGGCAAACAGGAATAAAGCCTTCAGCCAACTGCTCAGCAGGCATGGCCTTTGAATTAGAATTTTCATTACCAGAGTGAGATAAACTCAACTAAATTCACCATGCCTGTTTGTATATACGCCACTGCTGTCTTTAGAAACCCGCACTGAAATCCATGCAAAATATTGCTCCTAAATGCCTTTAACATCAGAACTTAAAATATAAATTCCCAGGCTGGTCTTGAAGTAAAACAGGTGGTACAAGCATCTTTTGGCATACAGAGAAATGCCACGACAAGCACTCACAGACTGGGAGGCACAGAATTTAACTCCTGAATTCTTTTATAACCTGGATTGCTCTAACACTTTGTGATAAAACATTGTTTGGGTTCGGTTCCACTGTCTCTTTTACCATGCCCAAGACAAAAACACGGAGCGGATGCAGAGTCTGTTTATCTTCTCGTGGGACTTGGGTGATGGATCCTCCAACCAGTGAGCTAATCTAGCATCTGGCACTTACCTCTGTCTGCTTCAGTTGGAGATCTGCTACATGAAGGGGTTTACTCCATCTCTGGTCAGAGGCTGGTATGTATCATGGACTTTCTATTTTTCCTTTAATCCTTAAAAGTGCTGTAGCACTTTCTGAGTTCTGGGTAGGGTCCAAGACTCTACTGTGCCCAGTACCAAATTGGTAGAAAATGCAGTTAGGTCTTATCCCAGCACACGTGCAGAGGAGAGTACCATCAGAAAGCCTGGATTGCAGGTTTTGGACTGGACTTCCAATGCCAGTCAAAACACTGCAATATCCCACAGGAGACTGTGGGGTGGCTGTCCTCAGATATTTGGGCTCTGCCTCATTTGGGGAACTCCCCCACTTGCATGAATAGTGTTTGCACAACTCCAGCTGTTGCCCACCATCACCTTGCCCCCCTTCCCCGCCACCAGAAGACACACAACTTCTACTTCCTGATTTCACAGTTCCCCCACCATAATGAGTGAGCCTAGGGAGGGAGATGGAGAGTGCACACATTAACTCCCACTACTGCTGCTTGCTTCAAGATCTCCCAGACACTGGCATTTTGCAAAAAAGACGCCAACAAACCCACACTGAACTCATTCTGAGGATTCTTTATTGCTTTCACAATCTTATCTTTTCAGTAGTTTCCCAAGAGCTTGTGAAAAAAACATGGGATCTGTTGATTAAACATCATCTTCAAGAATCAAGTAAATGCATGCCTGAAGTCAAAGTCATGTTCACTGGCTGTCTCCATCTGAACGTCCCTAGTCAAACAGTGGTCAGAAGAATTGTGGGAAAGCAAACAATGTTACTTAATGGTAGCAATGGGAGCAGCAATATGAATGGCATGAGAGAGCTACTGGTGCCCTCCTCTGAAATGTAAGCCTATACAACCTGTCCATTTGGGCTGGGCTTTCCCAGTTGCATCTCTGAGCAGAAGAGACAGAGGGACTGAAGCTTTTACCATACTGTCCGTCTGACATTTGCCCAGGGAGATTTCTTCATTCCCTGAGCTTCTTTCACCTCACTCCACTCCAGCTTTGTGTCTGGAACCTCATCTTCAAGCTCGGGATCCTCGCGGACAGTCCCCTCAGGCAGTGCCACCACGATGGGCAGAGGGCCCTGCTCCTCCCGGAACTCCACTACATAGAGACTCTTTTGGTTCGCTAACTGTTGGTGGGTCTCCTGGGAGTAGGAAAGAGAGAAGACAATCAAAGCAATGATGCACCATGTTGGTTTACTTCAGGTCAAACTCTATATGGTATATGGGGTAGGAAAAAAAAAAGTAATTTACTAATAAACGGTTTAAACACTGCGTAAATTGTCAGGCTCATCCTCATGGGTTTCAAATGAGGTAATTGC